ATCAAATGTAAAATCCTAAATCTGAACAAGGCTACTACCAGATTCAAAATATTGGTGAAGCATCAATGGCAGAGGAACCAACCAAATAAGAGGCAGGTGATTATTGCTTTTGTCCCTCCTAATGAAACCTGAGCCAATATTATTGACCAGGCATCATGAAATATGGTTTCAGTTGTAAAGCATTTGTTCAGTTGCTTGGAAAGAGGGTTTCTCTATCTAAGTATTTATATGGCCCTTATCTCTGTAGTCACCAGACATTTGAAGATATGGATTCTGTCCATCTTGAAATGGTAGAATACCCTCCAACTTGTTCAAGAACATCAGGTTGACCACCAATCTGTGGCAGTCTTTTCTTGACTACTAGGAAGATAGCCTGCAAATACGGAGTGATCTTTTCAACTTCATATTCATTTTGAGGGTCAGTCATAATATTTAGGCTGCAAGGTCTTTGTAAGGGTCGCTCATACTCCTGTCAGACCTACTGAAACAGGTAACTAACATGTGGTCAAACTCTAGGATTTTGGCTGGTAAGCTAAAGTATGGACAGTCCACCTTTGTGTTGTAGCAAAATGCTTTGGCCAGACAAACTCTGGATTCATTCCACAATGCATCCTTATCCACCTGGCTTCTGTCCTTAGGGATTTAATTTGACTACAGATGGAGTGTGGGGTGAAGCAGGTATAGAGCATTAAGATGGGAGGAGGATACTGGAGCCAGTAAGAGAATAATCTATCCGAGGCCTCAGAAACAGTGCTATGCTGACGTTTAGAGAGGTGGGGAGCAGTGGTGCCTAAAATTGCAGGGGCAGGAAGGCTACTCCTTGGAACATCCTCTTGAATGAGTCTCACAGTGTTTACTTCCTGCTTCAGCACACAGTGTTCTGTAAAGAGGAGAGGTATTACCTCCTACAGTGCTGGGTTGGGGAGACAGTAACAGGAGTCACTGCAGGAGCTTCTTTTGCTTGGTCAGTCCCGCCTGCCTTTCTCCACTATTATTATTGTTGTTTTAATACCAACAAAAGTTCAGCACTATACAAGACAGAAAATAAACAGTCTCTTGCCTGATGTGCTTAGAATCTCAAGGACTGAAGACATATCCACATCTACAAAAAGAAGAACAGGAGGACTTGTGGCACCTTAGAGACTAACAAATTTATTAGTTAGTTAGTTATTAATATCCACATCTGGCTTTCCCATTGTGTCACGTCCATTCCCCCCTCCAGTTATACATTCCCTTCCTGAGCATGTAGGAAGTGGGGGTTTTCAGGAGGCATGTGACATTCACCATCTTGATTGAGACCAGGTTTTCAGTAGGGAGAGCTTCCTAGTGTGGTTCTGATAAGGTCTCCATCCCTGAGCTACAGGAAACTTGTCTGCTGTCCCCTGATATTTTCATGCTGTGGAGAGCAGCAAAGAAGAGAAAAATGAAGCTCCTGATGCAGGGTTTTTTTATCTGTGGAGTTTTTCCAGGAGTAATTTACCAATGGACTTCAGCATCTGTGGGGAAAATCCTTACTGTGTGCTGTTTGGTAATACAGAGCCTTTGGTGTGTATATATATATATATATATATATATATATATAT